TGTCGACGAACTATAACAATGCCCCCAAAAATGCCCCAAGAAGGCCAACAAACACTCAACAAAATAGTCCCCAGACTATGTTTGGACTCTTCGTTGCTTATTTTTTTGGGGTATGTTTGATCTTTCGTCGAAAATCCCCCTGTAGGGGGACAGGCCCGACTTGACACGAACACGCCTTTCAGGTTTTGGATAAGAGCTGACAGCACACAGGCATCACAAGCATGAAGTCGGGCCTATCCCCCTACAGGAATATTTTCGACGGGACATAAAAGACGCCCCCAACGTGCTCCAAAAAGGTCCAACAGTACTCAGAAAATGGTCCCCAGACTATGCTTGGACCTCGTTTTGACTATTTGGGGGGCATTTGTTTTATTGTTCGTTTTTTTTAAATCCCCTTGCAGGAGGAGGAGGAGGAGGAGGAGGAGGAGGAGGAGGAGGAGGAGGAGGGGGAGGAGGAGGAGGAGGAGGAGGAGGAGGAGGAGGAGGAGGGAGGAGGAGGAGGGGGACATGTCCGACTTCGTGCTCGTGGCAAATTCTCCGTCGTGCTCGGCCATCTCCCTGCAGTCTTCCTGACCGCTGCGGTGGGCGAGCGAGGGGCTCCCGTCGTCTCTCCCCGCAGGGCATGTCCGACGGAGGAGGAGGAGGAGGGGGAGGAGGAGGAGGATGGCGATGATGATGATGATGCTGATGATGCTGATGACGATGATGCTGATGATGATGATGAGGAGGAGGATGTTGGTGGCGAGGAGGCGGAGGATGATGATGATGATGATGATGGTGATGATGATGGCAATGAGGAGGAGGAGGAAGACGAGGAGGATGGCGATTATGATGATGCTGATGATGATGATGAGGAGGAGGAGGAGCAGGAGGATGGTGGCGAGGAAGAGCAGGACGAAGAGGAGGAGGAGGAGGGCGGTGAGGAGGAGGAGGAGGAGGAGGAGGAGGAGGAGGAAGAGGAGGAGGAGGAGGATGGCGATGAGGAGGAGGAGGCGGAGGAGGAGGAGGAGGAAGAACCCTGATCTCACGCGCAATCCTGGCCGGTCGGCCTCTCGCGTTTACCGCGACCTCGCGCGTGATCTTTGCGCTCGGCATCTCGCGCTACGCATCACGGAGCGACTCGGCGACCCCTGCCGATGGGCCTCTCGCCTTCTCTTTTGCACCGCACGTTCGAGGCGGTGATCAAAGGAGTGGTGGTGGTGGTGGTGGTGGTGGTGGTGGTGGTGGTGGTGGTGGAGTAGCCATGCTCTCGCACGCAAGCTTGGTCGTTGGGCCTCTCGCTGCCATTCGCCTCTCGCACCTCGTGCACTTGGAGGGGTGGATGGGCGGGCGGAGGAGGAGGAGGAGGAGGTGGAGGAGGAGGAAGAAGAAGAGGAGGAGGGGGAGGAGGAGGAGGAGGAGGAGGAGGAGGGGGAGGAGGAGGAGGAGGAGGCGGAAGTGGCGGAGGAGGAGGAGGAGGCCCGAGTGCTGGGCCGAGCGCTGGAATTGCTGCCATGCTTCTGTTTGCTGGAGGCCTCGCCCCAGGCGTCGACCGCGGCTTCGAGTCGAGGAGCTTGGCCTGGGCCTAGAGGGACGATGGCACACACACACACATACACACAGACACACACACACAAACGAACACGTACACAAACGCACACACACACACGCACACACTCACACACACGCGCACGCACACGCACGCACACGCACACGCACACACGCACAAACGCACACACGCACACACACACAACTTGACAATCTCGCACACGCACATACACCACACTCAGACACACGCAGACACAACACACAGACACAACACACAGACATACTCACATACATAAACAGACACACACGCACAGACACACAGACACAAAGTCATATTCCGACAAAGACAGGGGCAGAGACAGAGACATACAGACATGCATGCACACACTTTCAAGTCGGCGACGCAGAGAAACCTCAGGCGCGGCTGGCAGATGGAAGCGGCGATCGCGGGCGAACTTAGTCGAACACGCCGTGATGGATAGGGTCCAGCCACGGCCGTGCAGACAGGTGCAGGTGGTGGAAGGATGAAGCACTGCAAAACCAAGGTGCAGCGGCCAAGCCTCCCGCGGAGCGTAGCTCGACGCCAAGAGTTGAAGCGCGGGCAGCGGTCTGATGCAAATCCGCCAGTAATGTGCAACGGCCTAGCGTCCCGCGGAGCGTAGCTCGACGCCAGGAGCTGAAGCGCTACAGCAGTCTGGTGCTAGTAGCCAAATGAAGAGGCGTACTGTAAGGCTGCCAGACCAGCCAGCGAACGGCGGCGCAAAACAGGCACAAGCGAGACAAGCAACGCCGCCGAACGAGCAACGAACACGGCAAAACGCCGCGCAGGTGCGAGCAGCGCGACGACAGCGCGCGTACGGGCCGAAAGGCCAATCAAATAAACCAAGCTGACCGCGGGCGCCCGCGATAGCCAACGCACGGTGGCGTGCATGGGTGGTGGACAACACAGGCGAATCCATGGGTGGGGGCGGCGCGTGCGTAGCCAACGCGCAATGCGGGCGCCACCGTTGAAGGGCACACCCACCACGATTAACGCTACGCCAGCCATGAACGGGAACCGAAGCAAAAAACAAACACCTGGAGGATATACATATATATATGTGTATATATAAAACCTGTACGGGGCACCTCGTCGCATCACACCCACGCACACACCCGCCCCTCCCCACCGACACACACACACAGACACACGCAGAGACACACACACAGACACACACACAGACACACACACACACACACGCGCACGCACGCACGCGCGCACGCACGCACGCACGCGCGCGCACGCGCACACACAAACACCAGCACAAACACAAACACACACACACACGCACTCACACACACACACACACAAAACAAACCAAAACGCACACACACACACACACACAAAACAAAAAACACGCACACACACAAACACACACACACACGCACACACGCACACACGCACACACGCACACACACACACACACACACACACACACACACGCGCACACGCTCACGCACCACACTCATACGCACAGGCGCACAGGCGCACGGGCTCACAGGCGCACAAGCGCACAGGCGCACAGGCGCACAGGCGCACGCGCACAGGCGCACAGGCGCACAGGCGCACACGCACACACGACCCCTGGGCCTAGCCGCCTGCGCTTGCAGATGCAGGCCCTGATCCTTGCAACGCTCCTGGGGGCGGCGATCTGGTGGCGGGAGGAAGGCCTTGCCTCACGGCTTCGATCCTCGCATTGACTGGTGGTGGCGAGGTGGACGCTGAATTGAATTGAGATGGGTTGGTTTGCCCGATTTCGGCGATATTCTACCAGGAGGATCCCTCCACTCAGCTCTGGTCGTTGACGACAGGTTCGCAGGCCAGTTGGGCGGCCGCCACTCGCTGCCTTGCCTGCCTCTGTCTGCAACTGCCTCTCGCTGGTGGCCCCCTCGCTGACGCCCCCGGCCCGTGTGCTCACGTGGCTTCCCCAAGAAAGAAGAGGAGCTCAGAACGAGGTGATGGCGACGACGACGACAACTGCGACGACACGACGACGACGAGGAGAGGAGGAGGAGGAGGAGGAGGAGGAGGAGGAGGAGGAGGATCAGGAGGAGGAGGAGCAGCAGGAGGAGGAGGAGGAGGAGGAGGAGGAGGAGGAGCAGGAGGAGGCCCGCCGCGGCCGAGGCCCCGCCCGCGGCCCGGGCGAGGCGGCCCCGCCGCCGCGCCCTCAGAGCGGCGTCGAGCCGCTCGCTGGGCGGCGCGGGCGGCGGCGTCACGCCCGCAGGGCGAGGCCCGCGGCAAGCAGCGCGGCAAGGAGCGGGCCTGGGGGGAGGGAAGATCTAGGCCTCCTCCTCCTCCTCCTCCTCCTCCTCCTCCTCCTCCTCCTCCTCCCTGTCGTCGTCCTCCTCCTCCTCCTCCCTGTCGTCGTCCCGGGGGGGAGGGAAGATCTAGGCCTCCTAGTCTGGGGACGATGTTTTGACTATTTTTGCCCATCCGGGAGGTATGTTTGGAGTATGTTCTATTTTTCGCCCAGAATCACCCTGTCGGGGGACACGCCCGATTTACACGTGGAAGTCCAAGGGGGGGCCTCCAGGGAACGCTTGCTTTCGAAACTCGGTGCCCCCCAGCTATCCACACGGTGCACAGGCCTGGGGGGAGGGAAGATCTGGGCCTCCCAGACGGGGTCGGAGTACAGTGAAAACGTATAGTAAGGACGCGTGGTAAGGACGCAAGACCCTTGGAGGCCGAAGTTGAAGTATTCTGGCCTGCGAAAATTTCAAGGGACGGGCCGCAGAGGCTGAGGCAAAGAACGAGTGCGCAGACTTCTGCTGCGTTGCCTTGAGATTGTCTATTCATCTTGGCCTGGGGGGGAGCGAAGATCTAGGCCTCCTAGACTGACTACCTACCAGACCACTCCAACCCAACCCGAAGACCCGAGTTTGAACCGAATGTCGGGTTGGGGGGGGTACGGGTTCCATGTGTTTTTTCTATGTTCCCCGACCCCCCCCCTCTGGAAATGGAGGGCAAATCGTGGCCTTCGGGTTGGGTTGGTGTGGTTTGGTGGGCGCTGATAGACGGGGTCGGAGCAGATGGGGTCGGAGGACCGCGCCGCATCGCCGATGCATCGGAGATGCGGCTCTATGTGGAGCCCGATTGGCTTCGCGTCGACGTCGCCGGTTCATCGCCAACGTCGACGATGCGCGGCAAGGAGCGGGCCTCGGGGGAGCGAAGAAGATCGGCTACACGCAAGAGTGACCCTGGGTAAGAGTGACCTTTGTTTGGTGCGCGGCTCTCTGGGAGGCAGGCTGAGGCTGAGGCTGAGGCTGATGCAGGGTGAGGCTGAGGCAGGCTGAGGCTGAGGCCGAGGCTGAAGGCAGACTGATGTTGAGGCTGAAGCAGGCTGAGGCTGAGGCTGAGGCAGGCTGAGGCTGAGGCTGAGGCTGAGGCTGAGGCAGGCTGAGGCTGAGGCTGTGACTGCGACTGCCGTTGCCACTGCGACTGCTATCGCGAATGCGACTACGACTGCGAGAACAGCAGAATTCTACAGCAGGATTCTCATCTGAATCTTGAAGGGAATGCTTCCAGATATGCTCCTGCACATCGCTGTTAGGCTGCTTTGCCGGGATACTTGAAGATTCCCCCTGTCGAGGGACAGGCCCGACTCGAGTCTATGTCATTCTTCGTCCCCCATGGGCCGCCGAGGGCGGCGCGGGGGGCGCGCCCGCAGTCGAGGGCGCACTGCGGGTCGACGTTGGTGAGGTTGGCGCAGGCACCCCTGCACGGGGGGACTTCGCGTCCTCGTCGTCGTCGTCGTCGGCGGCACGGGGGGAAGGGGGAAGCGAGGGGGGCGACAACGATGAGAAAGGACCCCAGTGAGAAGGAGCAGGATGGCGAGCAAGAGGGAAGGGGAGAGGGGGATGGGGAGGGGAGGGGGGAAGGGAGAAGGGGGAGGGAGAGAGAGGGGGAAGGAGGAGGGGAAAGGAGAACGAAAGGCGGAGGACGAGGAGGGACGGGGGACGACGGCAAGGGGGGAAGGGCAAGCAAGGTACGCTCGCGATATTTCTGATATCCTACACCTCCCACCCATCCCTTCCCATGGCGCTGAATTTCTTTCACCGCGGACGCGTGTCGTAGCGGACCCGGAACTCCAAAACGGACCCCACCGTGGTATGCGCAATCGGGAACACGGGAGCTGCGTGCATTGGAAGAAGAGGTGGCGCATGAGAGGGAGGATGAGCAGGAGGAAAGGGAGGAGGATGAGGAAGGAGGACGAGGACGGAAAGCAGCACCAGGAGCTGGAGCACAAGGAGCCGGAAGAGCACGAGGATCAGGGAGGGCGGAGGAGGAGAAACAGGGGGGCGACAAATATGAAAAAAGGACTCGGATCCAGAACAATGGCCGACGCTGGGGCGACAGCGCCGTTCTGAACGACGGGCGCAATGCCCCCATCCGAGAATGAGACCTACGCTGCAGCGGGAACGCGAATTTGAAACACCGGGAACAATCGGATGGCACAGCAAGCCATAGGAAAAAAAAACACCTTTGCCGAATTCGGTGTGTAAAAACTTATTCACTTCGTGGCGCTCCCCATATCTGCATCTATTAGCCCGGACCTGTCCGCCGTGAGCGTCTAGGCGCAAGAATTTTCGAATATGAACGGACTTGAGTACTGACGGTCTGGGAGTGAGTCTAACTGTGAATGAGTTGGCGTGTGAATGAGTCTCAGTAGTGCGAGCGCGTCTCTGCACATGAGCCTGGGGCCTCCTGGAACCTCTTGGAGCCTCCTGGGGGCTCGTGTGGCCTCCTGGAGCCTCCTGGGGCCTTCTGGGGAGGATTCGTGCCCCAGGAGAGGCCCAATCGATAGGAACAGACGTACATAAAACACTGCGTAATGGAGCCGCAGGAGAAGGGCAATCTATAGGAACACGCGTAAAACACCAAAGGCTCGTGTCCTGGGGGAGGCCAAATCTATGGAAACATACACAAAAACACCTAGGGTTGGATTCACAGGGGAAGGACGATCTATAGAAACATACGTAAAGCACAAAAAGGATTCGTGCTCCAGGGGGGTCCCAATCGATAGGAGCATACTGCTCCAGTGGCCACTCCAGTGGCCTTTTGAAGCCTCCTGCTCCTGGGACCTCTTAGGGCCTCCTGGTGCCTTCCGGGGCCTCCTGGTGCCTCCTGGCGCTTCCTGTGGCCTCCTAGGGCCTCCTGTGGCCTCCTGTGGCCTCCTGGAACACCCTGGAGCTTCCTGGGGCCTCCTGGAGCCTCTTGGGGCCTCCTGGAGCCTCTTGGGACATCCTGTGGCCTCTTGAATCTTCCTGTGGCCTCATGATGCCACCTGGGACCTCCTGTTGCCTCCTGGGGCCTCCTGGAGCCTGCCGGAGCCTCCTGTGGCATCCTGGGGAGGATCCGTGCCCACGAGTCTGGCCACCCAAACAAGCAAACCGATCGAGACATCCTCAAACTCTGGCCCCACTTGGGAGCGAAAATGAACGCCTCGCTCGAGACATCCTCCAAATCTGCTCCGAAAGCATCGGATGTTGAGCCAGGAAGCAAGCAAACCGCTCGAGACATCCCCGTCATTTTGGCGCGAACGGAGGAATGCAATACCCCCTGGCGGCTCCGGGTGCTGAAACCTGAGCCTCGCTCGAGACGTCCTCGAATCTGGCCACCAAAACAAGCAAACAGATCGAGATATCCTCAAACTCTGGCTCCACTTGGGAGCGAAAATGAACGCCTCGCTCGAGACATCCTCAAACTCTATCCCGAAAGCGGACGATGTTGAGCCAGGAAACAGGCGAACCGCTCGAGACATCCCCGCCATTTTGGCGCGAACGGAAGAATGCAATACCCCCTGGCGGCTCCCCCTTGAGGGTGCTGAAACCCGCGACTCGCTCGAGACATACTCAAAATTTGCTCCGTCGCAATCATCATCGTCATCATCATCGTCGTCATCATCATCATCATCATTAACAACATCATCATCGTCATCGTCATCGTCACCGTCCTCCTCATCCTCATCCTCATCCTCCTCCTTCTCCTCCTCCTCCTCCTCCTCCTCATCATCATCATCATCATCATCATCATCGTCATCATCATCAATGAGAGAGCATGATCCACCGCCGCTTTACTGTGGAAAATTCCCCCCCCTCTCTTCCAGAACCCGGCCCCCCCCCCCCCTCCTTCCCCCGGCGAAACACCCTTCCCCCCAGAACCCCTCCCCCCATCCCCCTCCCAAAAACCGGGGGGGTCACTACCGTTGGAACCTCCCCCCCTCTAGAAAACCGTAAGGGGGGTCACTGCAGGTTCGAACCCTCCCCCCCCCACTCACCGCCGGCAAACGACTCCCGGGTCCCCAACGCCGTCCTCACCACCGCCCTCACCGCTGTCCCCAGCACCACCGTCCCCACCACCACTGTCCCACTGTCCCCAGTGTTCCCACCACTGTCCCCACTGTCCCCCAGTGCACCCACCACTGTCGCACTGTCCCCACTGTCCCCACCACTGTTCCCACCACGGTCCCACTCTCCTCACTGTCCCCACTGTCCCCACCGCTGTCCCACTGTCCACACTGTCCCCAACACTGTCCCACTGTCCCCACTGTCCCCGCCGCTGTCCCACTGAGCTGTCGCACTGTTCCCACCACTGTCCCCACCACTGTCCCCACTGCACCACTGTCCCATTGTCACACCAACGTCCTCACCACCGCCCTCACCACTGTCCCCACCACTGTCCCACTGTCCCCACACCACTGTATCCACCACCACCATTCCCACCGCTGTCCCACTCCCGCCACCACTGTCCCACTGTCCCCACTGTTCCCACCATTGTCCCCACTGTCCCCAGCAGTGCCCCCACCAGTATCTCACTGTCCCCATTGTCCCTACCACTGCCCCCACCACGGTCCGACTCTCCCCATTGTCCCCGCTGTCCCCACCACTGCCCCACTGTCCACACTGTCCCCATCACTGCCCCACTGTCCCCACTGTCCCCTCCGCTGTCCTACTGTGCTGTCCCACTGTCCCAACTGTCCCACTGTCCCCACTGTCCCCACCACTCTCCCCAAATGTACAACTATCCCATTGTCCCACCACCGTCCTCAACACCGCCCTCACCAATGTCCCCACCACTACCGTCCCCACCACTGTCCCTGTCCCACAATCCCCACTGTCCCCACCACTGTCCCACTGTCCCCTCGCCATTGTCCCTGCCACCACCGACCCGACCACTGTCCCACTGTCCCCACCGCTGTCCCACTCTCCCCACACCACTGTCCCCACCACCCTTTCCTCACCACGTTCCCAATGTCACCACAACTGTCCCACTGTCCCGAGGAGCGGGAATCGTTTGCCGTCAGCGAGGGGGGGGGTCGAACCCGTAGTGACCCCCCCTCCTTTCATCATGGACTGGGGGGGGGAGGTTCGAACAGGTAGTGACCCCCCCTGGCTTTCGAGGGGAGGGGACGGGTTGGGAACCCCCAGTACCCCCCCCGGGTTTTCCGCCAGCAGCGGTAGAACACGCTCTTTCTCATCATCATAATGAGTATCATCATCATTAGCAGCATCAGCATCAGGCGCGAGCATCAGCAGCAGGCATCAGCATCCGCAGCCAAGCAGCACAGCTTAGGCAGCATTCAGGCAGCAGCAAGCAGCATCAGCTTCTTGCAGCAGAAATCACCATCACATCATCATCATCATCATCATCATCATCATCATCATCATCATCATCATCATCACCAACACCACCACCACCACCACCACCACCACCACCACCACCATCATCATCATCATCATCATCATCATCATCATCATCATCATCATCATCATCATCATCATCATCATCATCATCATCATCATCATCATCATCATCATCATCATCATCATCATAGTAATCATAATCATCATCGTCATCATCGTTGTCATTATCAGCATCATCATCAGCATCATTATCAGTCTGAGTATGAGCAGATCTGAGTATGAGGGGACCGAAATCTTAGTAGGAGGGGACGAGAACGCAGAAGAGGAGGAGTAGGAGGCGCTTAAATTAGAACAATAACCCCATCTCAGGATATGGGGAACAATACGCGGCGAGGGCGGAACATCTTCCGGACAGACTCAGGGGAGAGAGGGAAGTATGGGTTATGATGTTTTTGGAGGGAGGGGGAGGGGTTGGGAGAGGGAGAAGGGGAAGGGAGGGAGAGGGGGAAGGAGGAGAGGGGGAAGGGAGAACGGAGTGCGGAGGACGAGGGAGGGGTGACGACGGCGAGGGGGGAAGGGCAAGCTAGGTGCGCGCGCGACATATATGATGTCCCACCCCTCCCACCCATCCCTTCTCATGGCGCTGAATCATCATTCATCCGCGTACGCGTGTTATAGCGGACCTGGCACTCCGAAACGGAAAGTGGCGACAGTTGCGCAGGCCGCAGCCACCCAAGCAGCAGCGAGGTCTCACCTAGGTGGCCCCCGACTTCGCTGGACCTCCCAGGAGCCCACGAAAGTGGCGACAGCTGCGCAGGCCGCAGCCACCCAGGGAGCAACGAAGCCTCGCCTGGGTGCGCGTGGCACCCGACTCCGCCAGACCTCCTACGAGCCCGCGGAAGTGGCGACAGTCATGCAGGTCGCAACCACCCAGGGAGCAGCGAGGTCTCGGGTAGGCGCGCGTGGCACCCGACTCCGCCGATCCTTCTAGGAACCTGCGAAAGTGGCGGCAACTAAACAAGTCGCAGGGTGCGCGTGGCACCCGATTCCGCGAGAACTCCCAAGAGCCCGCGAAAATGGCGACAACGTGGCAGGTCGAAACCACCCAGGGAAATTCGAGGTCTCGTCTGGGTGCGGATGGCCCCCGACTCCGCTGAGCCTCCCAGGAGACCACGAAAGTGTCGACGGCTGCGCAGTTCGTAGCCACCCAGGGAGCAGCCAGGTCTCGGCTAGGTGCGCGCACTCCCCTACTCCCCCGAGCCTCCCAGGCGCTGACGAACATGCGACAATTGACCAGTTCGCAGTTCCCCAGGGAGCCGCGAGGTCTCGGTGCGCGTACTCCCCTACTCCGCCGTGCCTCCCAGGAACCAACGAAAGTGGCGACGGCTGCGCAGTTCGCAGCAACCCAAAGGGATGCGAGGTCTCGGCCGGGTCCGCGTACTCCCCTACTCCGCCGTGCCTCCCAGAGCTCACGAAAGTGGCAACGGTTGCGCAGTTCGCAGGCCCCCCTGGGAGATGCGAGGTCTCGGCTAGGTCCGCGCACTCCCCTACTCCGCCGTGTCTCCCAGTAGCCCAGGAAAGTGGCGACGGTTGCACAATTCGCTGCCCCCCTGCGAGATGCAAGGTCTCGGCTAGGTCCGCGTACTCCCCTACTCCGCCGTGCCTCCCAAGAGCCCACGAGAATGGCGACAGTTGCGCAGTTCGCAGCCTCTGGGGGAGCAGCGCAGGAGGAGGCAGGAGGAGTAGGGAGGCGGGAGATGGGGTGGGGACAACAGCGCTCTATTCAAAACGAGACCCCCACACACAAGAGGGTTGGGAATGAAGGGTGGTCAGCCGTATGTAAAGGGCCAAGGGCAGGGGCGGCGGGCGGTATGATAGCTGTCATCAACTGATCAGCTGTTTCAAATACGTGGTCGGCCCCCCTAGACTTGCCTCCTCCTTCCACATCCCTCCCCTCGGTCCATCTCCTCCCCACATGCTTGGTCCTCGGATCATGACTCGGATCGCTGGTGGCCGTTCGGGGCGATCCGGGCACCCCAAGAACGCTCTCGGCGAGGCGTAACCGCTGGAACGGAGCCCGAGGCTGGAAAACCACCAAGAACCGACGAAAGTCCGAAACATTCGAGCTTCATCCCTCCTCCCGCCTCCTCCTTCTCCTCCCCCCTCGAAGGAAGAGGAGCCTGATGATACTGTCGTAGCAGCCCAGCTCACGGGTGCACTTCACCACGGTCTGCATCTCCTCGCACTGCCTCTGAAGGCCCTTGGCCCTGGCGACGCACCCGTCGACAAGACCGAGGAGGAGGCAGAGGATGAGGCGAGGAAGGATGAGGAACTCCTCCTCCTCCTCCTCCTCCTCCCCCTCCTCCTCCTCCTCCTCCTCCTCCTCCTCCTCCTCCTCCTCCTCCTCCTCCTCCTCCTCCCCCTCCCCTCCCCCTCCTCCTCCTCCTCCTCCTCCTCCTCCTCCTCCTCCTCCTCAGTCGAGGAAATGGAGGAGGACGAGGAAACAGGAAGAAGAGGACAGCGAGGCGGAGAAGGAGGAGACGGAGAAGGAGGTTGAGGAGATGGAGAATGAATGAGGAGGGTGATGAGGACCCATACGTCCTTCGCTTTGGCTTGTTCGATGCGTGGACCCCAGGAGGTCTGGACCATTCCCCATAGGGACGGTTCTTCATCCTGAGATGTTATTTGACCGTCCTGGGGCTCGCTGAGGGTGCCTGGATGCCCGAAAACACACCCAAACCGGCCGCTCCAATTTGTTCGGAGCCTAAGATCTCTAGGCCCACCTTCTCCCCGGGAGCCCTGACCCTGTCCCCATCCCGAGTTGTTTTTTGGCGGCTTTGGGGCCTGGTCCAGGCCCCCTGGAGGCCGAAATCGGCCAAAAACCTTCCGTCGTGTTTTTGTTCACGACAAGGGCGTGTCTAGGGAGCAGGAACCGAAGAAGGAAACACGCCATACTCATAAACCTTTGGCGCTCCGCGCGGATTTCTTAGACCTGCGCTGGACCTCCCTCCCTGGCGCGCGGAGCGCGCCAGGGGCGACGCCGAAGGCGCCGCCAGGGGGGCCCAGCGCAGATCCAAGAAATCCGCGCGGGGCGCCACAAGAGCATGTTTATGTCAGGTCGGGCATGCCCCCCTACAGGTGGATTTTGGACGAAAAATATAACATGCGAAAATGCTCAAAAAGTGGCCAACAACTAATACGCAAAATCGCCCCCAGACTATGTTGCCCCGCAACACGCAACACGCAACACGTAGCGTATGGATACGGAGCTCAACGCGTAGGCTGAACACGTGGGTCCGACGCGACACACTCGCCAAAACGTGGTCCAATACGTGGAGCCAACACGCAATGTATTGACACGGACGTCTTGAACACGGGACGTATTGCATATCAAAACGGGCGTATCGGGGCAACTAAGGTCATCGGGTGAGCGATCCCGGACCTCCTCGCGCTGTGAAAAGATCACGACGGGAGATTCTTCGCTGTCTTCGGCCTCCGGGGGCCCTTCCAGGGCCTCGGGGCCGTCAAACAAAGCTTCAGGATGCAAAACCGGTCCCTGGGAAAAGGGCCCAGACCTCTGGGGGTCCACGCATCGAACAAGCTAAAGCGAAGGACGTATGGGTCCTCATCACCCTCCTCATTCATTCTCCATCTCCTCAACCTCCTTCTCCGTCTCCTCCTTCTCCGCCTCACTGTCCTCTTCTTCCTGTTTCCTCGTCCTCCTCCATTTCCTCGACTGAGGAGGAGGAGGAGGAGGAGGAGGAGGAGGAGGCCGAGGAGGAGGAGGAGGGCGGAGGAGGAGGAGGAGGAGGAGGAATAGGGCGGAAGAGGAGGAGGAGGAGGAGGAGGAGGAGGAGGAGGAGGAGGAGGAGGATGAGAGCCCACGTGTTCGCGCCGTGAAAACACGACGGCGTCCTTTTGTTGACACCTCCTGGGCTCCCGGGACCCTCGCCGGGGCCCCAGACCGTCTCGGGGGCGGCCACGAGGGGGGGTGTCCAAGAGGGGGAGGGTGCAAATCGTGGCCAGCGGCTTTCAGGAGGGGAAAGAACACACAGACACAATGACTCGTCGATTCCCAGGAAAGTATGGGAAAATATGGGAAGTGGGGGGGAAGACAAAAACCCAGAAAATATAGGAAAATATGGGGGATATTTTTATTTGTGTATTTATTTGTGTGTCCTGGGGCCCCTTCAGGCTTGTGCGCGGCCCAGGGGGGGGTGCCAGGGACGTCACGAAATAAGAAGAAGCGCCACGAAAACTGAGGAGACATCATGCCCCACGCCATGACATCACTTTAGTTATCACCCCCTCTTTGCCACCCCCGACTTTTCAGGCTCCGGGGGCCCTCGCCGGGCCCCAGGACCGTCATCGGCTGCACGTAAGAGTGACCCTGGGTAAGAGTGACCTTTGGTGCGCGACTTTTTGGGGGGCGCGAGGAGGCCAAACGCAAGCGCGCAAGACGCTAATATCGCAACGAGCGCGGCGATCGGGGGACCCCAGTGAGCGCGCACCAAAGGTCACTCCGGCGAAGGGTCACTCTTACATCTAGTCAAGAGCTGCCCCACACGACCCCGGACGCAACACCGGTCCTGGGGAAGTGGTCCAGTCCTTCGAGGGTCCGCGTTGGGAGGTGGAATTCAAATGGATCTATTAAGTTCAGCAACCCTTGCCACCATCGTTACCGAACAACGTTTTTTATGGTTCGAGGAGGAGGAGGAGGAGGAGGAAAAGGATGGAGGAGGAGGAGGAGGAGGAGGAGGAGGAGAGGAGGAGGGAGAGGAGGAGGAGGAGGAGGAGGAGGAGGAGGAGGAGGAGTAGGAGGAGGGAGAGGAGGAGGAGGAGGAGAAGAGAAGAGAAGGAGGAGGAGGAGGAGGAGGAGGAGGAGGAGAAGGAGAGGCGGAGGTTCAATGGCTCGAGGAGGCGGAGAGGAGGAGGCTGGACAGAGAGGATTCATGCTGTGGAGACGGCGAGACGTCGGAGCTCTGAGCAGATGTTGGAAACCTCGGGTCTGGCTCTGCAGAGACATGCGCTTCCAGAGGGGATGATGATGATGGTGATGATGACGACGACGACGACGACGACGAGGAGGAGGAGGAAGAGGAGGAGGAGGATGATGATAATGATGATGAGAATGATGATGATGATGAGGATGATGATAATGATGATGATGATGATGATGATGGTGATGATGATGATGATGATGATGATGATGATGATGATGATGATGATGATGATGATGATGATTATGATGATGATGGTGATGGTGATGATGATGACGACGATGAGGAGGAGAAGGAGGGGGAGGAGGAGGAGGAAGGGGAGGAGGAGGAGGAGGAGGAGGAGGAGGAGGAGGAGGAGGAGCACCGCCAGCTTCCGCCGGCGCGACGAGAAATGCCCCCCCCCCCCCTGTAGCATCGCAGGACAGGGAGGTGCCTGCAGCCTCTCGCCCTTCTGATCTGCTGTCTGACTCGGATCGGGCATGTCCTCCCAGAGGGGATGGGGATTCGGAAACTGGGGACGCTGACGTCTCTTGGTCGCATGCCTGTTGCAACGGCTCGAATGTCCTTGTGTGTCAGCCGTGATGGTGGATGGGACGCACGGCTTGGCCGGACTCCCAAACAGAGAGCCGCCATCGGGCGAGAGCAGTGCGGCAAGGGGGAGGGGACAGGGGATCACCCGCTCGCCGGGGCACGGACTGTGGTGGCCAGCGGCGGAAGAGCCCCCAAACTTTTCTGGGAAATCAATGTGTGAAGGTATGTATTCCTTTTGTTCGGCAAAGTCGAGGGTCCCATATCTAGTTAATCGGCAAGCACCCGCTTGGACGATGAATTGCATCAGGCACCTCGCTGATCGCTTAGTTGGACGTAGGCCGCTAGGGCACGCAGGCACCTGCCAAACGCTCCACGTCTGTTCAGCTCTCCTCCTCCTCCCCCTCCTCCTCCTCCTCCTCCTCCACCCACACCGTCCCGTGCTTAGACTAATGGCTCGCTCGCCTGGCCTGGGTGCCCGTCTACCTCCTGCGGTCTGGGCCCCCGACGTCGTAATTTCTTCAAAATTTGCGTTTCGTGGCCCCATAATGGGGGCTCCACCGAAGGTCCCAAATGGGACCGTCCGCATGCGTCTGCCACCACCCAGCACAGCCCTTGCTCCCTGCGTTTTACAACGCTTCGTGGCCCCAAAAGGGGGGCTCCACCGAAGGTCCCAGTGGCACCGCCTGCATGCGTCCGCCACCACCCAGCACAGCCCTTGCTCCGTGCGTTTCACCCATCCAATACAACGCTTCGTGGCCCATAGGAAGCTCCACGGAACGTCCCAGTGGCACCGCCCGCATGCGTCCGCCACTTCCCAGCACAGCCCTTGCTCCGTGCGTCTCACCCACCCAGTGCAGCGTTTCGTGGCCCCATTAAAAAGGGAGGCTCCACCGAAGGTCCCAGTGGCACCGCCCGCATGCGTCCGCCACCACCCAGCACAGCCCTTGCTGCCTGCGTTTCAACTTCCCAATGCAGCGTTTCGTGGCCTCATAAAGTGGGCTCCACCGAAGGTCCCAGTGGCACCGCCCGCATGCGTCCGCCACCACCCAGCACAGCCCTTGCTCCATGCGTGTCAGCCACCCAGTATAACGCTTCGTGGCCCCAAAAGGGGGGCTCCACCGAACGTCCCAGTGGCACCGCCCGCATGCGTCCGCCACCACCCAGCACAGCCCTTGCTCCCTGCGTTTCACCCACCCAATCAATACAGCGTCTCGTGGCCCCATAGGGAGCTCCACGGAAGGTCCCAGTGGCACTGCCATGCGTCCGCCACCCCCCAACGCGGCCCTTTGCTCCCGACGTTTCACCCACCCAGTACAGCGTTTCGTGGCCCCATCGGGAGCGCCACCGAAAAAGATAGTCACAATTGCGGTATTCACAACTGCGTATGGATGGGTCTTTTGCCAGGCTAATTTCTTCACGACGCGAGGGGGTCTGGGTCCCCTCCATCTGCACCGTCCCGTGCTTAGAATACTGGCTCGCTCGCCTGGCCTGGGTGTCCGTCTGCCTCCTGCGCACCTCTCGCGTGCTCGCCTTTGCCACTTTCTCTGCTTCACCCCTTTTCCACTCCTCGACATAGTCGTCCTCAACCTCCGCCTCTTCCTCCTCATCCTTCCTCCTCCTGCTCCTCCTGCTCCTCCTCCTCCTCCTCCTCCTCCTCCTCCTCCTCCTCCTCCTATTCCTCCTCCTCCTCCCCCTCCTGCTCCTGCTCTTGGTTCTCCCTCCTCCCTCTTCCCTCCTTCCTCCTCCCTGCTCCCTCCTCCCTCCTCCCACCTCCCACCTCCTCCTCCTCCTCCTCCTCCTCCTTGCCTCCTTCCTCCTCCTCTCTTGCTGCTTCCTCCTTTCTTCCTCTCCTACCTCCTCCTTATCCTCTCCTCTCCCGAGAGCGTGCACGCTGAGGAAGTACCAGGCCAAACACCCGAATCTTCCTAGCGATGCGCTTGGTGGTACGACAGCCCGGCACACGCCCGCGCCGACCAGCGCCGCCAGTGCCGCCCAGCCGGCGCCGCTGCGCGACATGGCGGGCAGGAGGCGCCCGCCAGACTGAAGGCCTGCGGCGCGTTGAAGGCGGACGTGGGAGGGGGCAGGCCTCGTCAGACCCAGCCATCCAACTGCCCCAACTGTCCAACTTGCGA